AATACATCTTCCCAAGCAAACTGAAATAAGTATTTAACTAGACTTGAGGAAAGCTATTGTATTGTTCAATCGCAAATAGTTATGAGCTCTCATTCAGTGGAATGACTTGGTCGTCAAAACTGTGCTATCTTCATCACTCCGTTTAGTAATATTTGATGTTTATTAAAAAGCATTACAGCAAAGTTGTGTAGATAAACATTTTTTTAATTGTGCTTACTTATATATTGAGAGAAAGCCGTCTTCTACAAAAATGTAATAAAAATACTATGGAGTAAATAAAATTCCTTTGTACACTACCCCATAATATATTTCTCTGTAGACGAACAATCACGAGACTTAGGGATTACTTTTGATGAGTTGCAGGAATTAAGAAGAAAAATGCTTTACCTTAGATGTTTGCCCTGAGCTCATATTATTCTACTATGTCATAAATAAAAGAATTCATCCACTAATTGTTATATTATGGTAAAAACGGATTAGATATACTTATTTATTTATCCTCCTAAATATTATTCTGGTGTGTAGTATGTATTGAACATACTGATAGCGATATGTTCTGAAGAAATGTCCCCAGGGAGAATGTTTTACCAAAACTAATCCCTATTTAAATTTCAAAAACTTGATTAGGTGTCTGATACAACTGATTTCAGCTTCATTAGAAGATAAAGTGACGTGCCACACAGAATTTAATTACAAGATTTATTTTTTATGTCACTGACTTTATTTAAATTAAGGATATAAAATACATGCATTGAACTCAAAGAGAATATACTGAAAAGCTAAAATTATTATTTAATTACAGACCAATCACTTTTCGAAATTTTGTAACCTTTTGATAAATTTATAACACTTAATAGGTTATGCAAAATGAAAACGTGTATAGATACGTGGTCAATTTCATTCCAACGCCTGCTTTAGTCCGTAGTTTCCATGAGAGAATAACTAAATTATCTATTCTACCTATAATGTGTAAATTAAAAATCTTGGCTAAAAATAAGCTTTAAACGGTCAGTTACTATATATACAGATATAACTTTAACAAATCACTTAAGGATTATAGCAATTGAATAAACTGGATATTTTTTATCTGTAGCAAATCCATCCATTTGAGCCAATAATCATTGCAACGTTTACGAAAATTCATACGTCAGAATAATAACGTGCAGGATAAATTACGGCTCACGAAATTGAAATTTTCGATCGCTGCCGCTGTCAGTTGCATTACTGTCTTCTAGGCACGTATTATGATGAATTTCGAGAGCTCTTGAACGCAAACATCGAAAACCCATCTCACATCTGAACATACATATAACTAATAATGTGTGGCTTCATCGTGAATATAGTATTAGATTGGTAATCACATTTTCTGGTAGAATATACGAGGGTGGATTGATAAGTTTCCGGCCTAACCAAGAGATGACGCCACTAGGCCTACCTTGAGGTGACATTCTATAGTACCATCCTTGGATAGCTTGTAGCTATAGTTTCAGCCCGATCTCCTTGCTAGTGTAGGTTTGACAGCACGCTGAACAAGACGCCTCTGTGGTTTTCGTAAAAATGGAAAAGCAGGAAAATCGTGCTGTCATCAAATACTTTTATTTGAAGGGGTTAACGCCGAAGGAAATTAAAAAAGAGATGGACTCAACACTGGGGACATCCTCCCCGTCATATTCAACCGTTAAGCAGTGGGTTTCCGAGTTTAAAAAGGGTCGTGTGAGCACCTCTGATGGGCCTCGCTCAGGACGCCCCGTTGAGGTCACAACTCCAGATATGATCGAAAAAATTCATCAAATAGTGCTGGGAGACCGCAGATTGAAAGTGCGTGAGATAGCTGAGACCTGTAAGATGTCATATGAACGTGTGCAACATATTTTGCACCAACATTTGCATATGGAAAAGCTCTGTGCAAGATGGGTGCCGCGTTTGCTAACAGTCGACCAAAAATTGATTCGAAAAAACATTTCTACCGCAAATTTGTCATTGTATAAGCGTAATCCAAGCGAATTTTTGCGTCGATTCGTAACCGTTGACGAAACGTGGGTCCACCACTACACTCCTGAAACCAAAGAACAGTCTAAACAGTGGATTGGACCAGGGGAACCAACTCCAAAGAAGGCAAAAACAATTTTTTCGGCGAACAAGGTTATGGCTACTGTTTTTTGGGATGCAAGAGGTATTATATACATTGATTACCTTGCAAAGGGTAATACTATCACTGGTCAATACTACGCAGACTTATTGCAACGTTTGAGCCACGAGGTGAAAATTAAACGACCTCATCTGGCGAAGAAAAGAATCTTGTTTCATCACGATAACGCACCAGCGCACACGTCAATCGTTGCGACGGCTAAAATCAACGATCTAAAGTTTGAATTGATGCCGCACCCTCCTTACTCTCCAGACCTAGCCCCGAGTGACTATTTTCTGTTCCCTAATCTCAAAAAATGGCTTGGCGGTAAGAGATTTGCGGACAATGAAGAAGTAATCGAAGCTGTAAATGGTTATTTTGAGGAGCTTGACGAATCAGTCTATAGAGATGGCATTAATAGACTGGAACACCGCTATGAGAAATGTATCAGCCTTGGAGGAGATTATGTTGAGAAATAAAAAAAAAAATTTTTAAAAACCTTGTTTTTCTTGGTCAGGCCGGAAACTTATCAATCCACCCTCGTATGCAAGGGCTTCATTTGAAGGCAATATTTTTCTTCCGTGGGATTTGATCCCCAACTCGTACACGAATGATTGAATAATTTCGGATCAAGCTTACTGTATTTGAACTTTTTAGACTATCTTGTTTCCAAACATTTTTACAATTTTATGACGTTTTTACCAAATTTTGCACAGGTATTTTTGAATAAAATTTCAAATTTGAAGTGAATGAGTACCGAAAAATTATTCATTAAAAGGGATACTGATCCCACAGATATGTTTATTACTAACATATGCATTGAAGCAATCATTACATAGTATAAGTTACTGTTAGTTTTTCATATGTAAGCGCTGGAAATTCCGGGTTGTACCTATAGTATATGTCATAACAACTGGATATGTGATCCCGCGAGATCTCTCAAAGCTTGCGAATATTTTATGTCCCTACAGAAAAGTATGAGGATGGTGTTGCAGAAGTTACTTTTCTTTGCAGAAGAAGGTTATTTTGGAGTTTTTTTTTTCATATTATGCGAAACTGGGAAACCCCTGATTCCTATGAGAAGTACCCATTTATTTATAAATTATTCTGACATTTTGACATCGGATTTTGTGAGTTCATTATTGTAATCAGCGACCCAAGAAAGACCCTAGTAACCGCGGTTCTTTAATAAATCCCTCCGTCATTTTGAGTCAGCAATTTTGTGCAGATGTTTTGGATTTTGCTCCAATGTGCGACGTATGGAAGATGGGTAGTGCCATACTACTAGGTACTACAACTTTACATACCCACTGCTCCCTTAACTCTTATGGTTCCTACAACTGCAAATTGTTCCTCCATGTTCTTAGTTTCTTGCAACCATGAAAAATGTTACGAGCACGTTAAACTGTACGACATTACCGTGGCTGTCAATTTTAGGATAAACGAATATTTCTCCTAAAAAACTTTTACTTCCCATAGTAAAATTGAAATTCCCAAAAATCTTTTTGAACAGAATTTAGCTGACACTTCAAGGTTTAAAGGTTAAGATTAAAAAAACAAAAATAAGCCTAAAGGCTTCGGGCTTTATGAATTTGGTTGTTCTGCTACTAAAAATGGACATTGGGCTTAGGGACAATTTGAGACTGTTCACAAGTTTCATATTCATGCTTAGCTTACTTATTGTTTACATTAAATCACGGAAGTGTATTTTGTTATAGGCAAAAAATAAAGGAGTAGATTGTTTCTACTACATCATCTCACAAGGACAGCCAACCCTAATAAAATTACTATTTAGTCGAAACAATAGATACTAATACACAGGTACTTAAAGTACCTACTTAATAATCTGTACCTTCATTGGATCACTTAGGCAAATGCTGGGACAGTAATTAGTAATATTCCACAGATAATCTTTATAACTTTTCTTCATTTCATCCGTCTTATCTTTCTTTCTCGAAGTAAGGAGGTTGAAGAATGTCTTACGCCCTACCCATTAGATGGTGGGAATAAAATACACAAAAGTTTTTTTTTTCAATTTAATAAATACAACAATAATTGGAACGTGACACGACGAAGAGATTGAGCTATAAATGTTACAAAAGGTACAAAAAAATAAATAAATAACACTGTTACTTGAGAATATAATATAACTTGGTTATACAGCGTCATCAAAGGGACCAGGGATATTTTGACATAATGACCGCGTTTTTACACAGTATCTACGAACTTATAAGGCAAAATAAACAATTTCAAAAACATATTTTACACTAAATATGTGGTACATATGGTAATGTAAATAAGTGCTAACAAAGGCGGTTGCTGCTAACTGAGGTTGTATATAAATTAAGCAAAGGTCATACTAAGGTATCTATTTGTCCATTCAGTTGACGACGCAGCTTGTATAGGTTAAGCAAAATGTTCATCGGGCATTTCTTTGTTGGCAAGTTTCTTTTTGTATCGCCCAAGAGAAAATGTATTTTAGTGACTGCGTGGAACATATTTTTTCAACCACGTCTGACTGAAAATATCAGCTGCTTTTCTGAAAACTGTCCTCGACTAACCAAAGCTACAAAATCTTTTAAACAAAAAGTGGACAGGATTTAAATTGCGTTTACTGGAGTTGTATTACTTTATTATTTCTATGAAACGATATGACTGAAATGGTTGAACATATATTTACGTATCTTCTTATAGGTACCATGCTGTACATATTTTTAAAAAAATTATGTAGTTCTGTAGTTCTTAGTTGATTGCATACAATAGAAAATAAAATATACATTAGTGTGGTTCTCTACTTGTTTGCAACTTGTCAATGATTCTTTATAACAACGATTGTATTAATTTATAGTAACAGCAGTATTTTTTTTTCTAGATTTCATTGAAGAAAGAAGGCTTCTTCTGGAAAATGTTGGTCCAGACTTACAAACTTTCTACGACAGCCAGCAAATTGAAGTAAGTGCCAAGTATTATTTATTTAAAGAAGTACTTTTGGGTGTAACTCATTTAGCGCATGAAAGCTTCCTACCAAAGCAGCCAAATGAATTAAATTATGGGTAATGTAATCCCAGTGGAGACGTTTTAGTAATGGAAAGGAAATGCTTGAATTTTTTACTAGGACACGCTACGAGAAATATTAGAAACTTTATTTGTGTCTATCAAAATATTTTACGAAACAAGTTGTTTAGCGAAAACCACGCTACTTAAATACATAAAAAAGTGGTAGTAATATTTTAATAGTTTACAAAGGAGATACATTGTTTCTACTTAGAACAAAAATTTATTTATAATAAAAATTGTATCTTGCTCAATTGTTATAATTTTATTTATTTCATTTATTTATTTATTAAAGAGTACGGGTTTACACCCACGTTCAAAAAGAATACAATAATTTTATAAAGGATTGGCACTTGAGGGTATAATATATATGTAAATGTAAATTTGATTTATAAACTAGATAACTTCGAATATAACTAAAAGTTATTTTTATTTTGATCATTTTTAGACATAGGATTATTAGTTTTCCAGGAAGCATATCTTATTGCACGATGTTGAATGTTCTCTAGGATTTTTTGAGACTGTTTTGTATAGGGGGACCAAATCAAAGAGGCAAAATCAGAGTCTTGTATAAGTAGATAATAGAGAGTGATCTTCTAAAATCATTCGACAATCTGTTAATAAAGCCAAGTAGTTTCAGGAATTTGGACGATATGTAAGTTAAATGACACTGGAAGCTTCATTTAAAATAAAATTCCTAGGTCCTTGATCTGATCAGAATACATAATTTGAAAAATCTAGGAAAAGATAGGACTCTACATTTAGAAGAATTTAGATAGAGTTTATATCTACATAATCGAATGTTTTCAAAAAGTCCAAATAGACCACATCGACTTGTTTTTTTAATTTGAATACTTCATATGTATAATCAATAAAGCATAAATTGTTTTTAGCTGTGGATCTAATTTGATCAGTAAATTAGTAAAACCATCTGTAAATTCTTTGCTAGCTTGTTGTAACTATTCTTCAAGAAAAACAATTAATATTACAACTTTCTGATAAATTGCGATTATGACAAGAGAAGTATTTACTAAATTTTAAGTTTTTAAACCAAATAGTGCCCTCAATCTGGAAATAAATCAGCGCCATTTTGAAGATAAAACGGCTAAGGCTTTCACGGCCGGCGTTATCTGTAGAACATCAGGCTTGATGGCCGTTGTAGGAGTGGTTCTTCTTCTTTCATTTTTAGCAGTAGTACGTAGTTTTACCTATTTCAAGTTATTTTGCTCTGGCAGATTCACATCATTATAAATACAGGTCTACATAATTTTATTATTTTATGGATATCAATAATTTTAAGAAAGTTTTTACTTTTAGTAGCGGTTAATATTTTAATAATTATCAAATATTAATGTTAATATTTGTTGCTGCAGTCACCTCTTGCGGCTTAGTGGCAAGAGTACTCGTGCGTAAACTCAGATGACCAATATTTTTCCTCATTAACTTAAGGTAACCTGTAGTAGGAAGAAAATAAGTTGATTAATATTTCAAAATTATTAAAATTTTCTGGATGTTTGTTTATTTCTAATTACTCACTAATAACAAAAGCTGTTAAAAATTTTAATGCTAATAATATCTAGTGGCAAATATAAATATTAGGGATTACTGTTTTTGGACAATTTCGTATTTACAATACGCCTAAGAGATACATGGATCTGTGAAATTTTTATTTAATTACAGGGAAACAAGTAACAGCAAAAGCAATAATTATAAAATAATATATATGTTGACAAAATAACTTCGTCTCAAAAACAAAATACCTGCAGGCAGTTTTCTAATGCAGATGAAGCTTTCCGCATTCAACAGGTTGTCGTTGTCCTGTTGGAACGGCAACCTTGATAGTTCTGCTTTATGATTTAAGTTTAAATGGTTGATAAAATGTCAGATAAAATTCAAGGATTGGAAAATTAAGTGGTAAACAGCCCGGGGCGCACTGAACGAGACTTGGGAAACATCGAAGTATTGCTAATATTTACAAACCTATTTCAAGCCCTTCTCTTTACAACTGGGACATTCATTTACCCCTTGTTGCTGTCATAGTAGCATTTATATGTTGTTAAATCGTGTTTAAAAGAAACAGTCTTTTCTGAAAGCAACGTGAGATACATATGTTTCAGGCAATGCTTTTTTGTGCTTAAAAGGTAAGGTACGATTTTTAGCTATTCAACTCTTGTTCAGGAATTAAAACTTTTATATTTTCTCTTCATAAAATCAGCATCACATTTAAAAGATCGGAATACAACAACTTGAAAAATTTGAAAAAATATTCTTGCGATCAATGAAGGCTGATGATTTTTATATTTAAGTAAACGATTAATAACTCTCTTTTGTCAATTTGTTGATTATGCAAATAAATTAAGTTAAGAAAATACCACAAATGGCGCGGTAAACGCCATCTGTAGTACGATGTTACATTTTAGGAATACGTATGCTCCAGCAAGGTCCATTTAAATAAGTATATGGATATCTACTTGCTGAAACGAATCCCGGCGTAGCTAACCTCAACGTGATAGCCACGTTACCATAATCGAATAAAATAATTCGAAGTGGTCTGTATTCTGTCGAAACTGCCAGACGCGGATCGCGATTTCGATCTTTATGGATCTCATCAGCGCGTCGCAGGCAGCTCCGACAGAACACAGACCAACTTTTACCTGCTGTCTTAACAGCGCGTTTTAGAAAATACCACAAATGGCGCGGTAAACGCCATCTATAGTACGATGCTACATTTTAGGAATACTCTAGGAATTAGGTGAAAGTTGGTCTGTGTTCTGTCGGAGCTGTCTGCGAGGCGCTGATAAGATCCAAAAAGATCGAAATCGCGATCCGCGTCTGGCAGTTTCGACAGAATTCGAATTATTTTATTAAATTAAGTTAAGTTACCATTTAATAAGCTCAGGTTTATTTAGCTTTCAAATTTGTTAGATTTCGTCGCTCCCATTCCTCATTTCTTGTTTAACCTGTAAACATCTTATGCGATGGTCTGGTCTACTAATTCGGAAGCGCAGAGGTTTGTAAAAAGAAACAAGTACATTCAACTTTGCCCAGTTCCCATGAAGTCTAGAAAAAAGGAGATGCACCTCTACACATCTTCGGATGTGAAATGTGGACCACAAAACTAAAAACCTTATTATTACTTCTAACTTAAGATTTGAAGATCAAAGTACTAAAAAATGTAGGGATAAGATACAGGAATGGAAGAAAGATATTGTATAGTTTCTATAAGGAGCAATATAGTTGTAGAATGGTCGGATCGATTATTAGACGTGATTTTTTTGAGCACGGTTCTGTATGGGAGTAAAACTTAGAACGCTGCGGAAAAGGAAAAGTTACAAGCATTAAGATATGATGTTAAATGGTGTTAATATAAAAGGTTAGAAATGAGGAGGTATTAGAAAGAATGGGAGAACGGAGGGCGCTATGCAACTCAATTTTTGAAATGCTTCTTCAGACATGAGGGGTTAGTTGGAGGCATATTAGAAGCAGAAACAGGACTTGGGAGGATAAGGAGACCTAAATTGGATTGCTATTCACAAATACTTAGAGACGTACGTTGCTCTAGTTTTTTTCGGGCTGAAGAACATACGACGATGAGTATACCTTTTCTTACCGTTGGGAAATAAGGTGGTTGTCGAGAAATTTACTTCCTGTGAAGATGTGTTAAAATTTAGACTTAGTTTACCTTGTTAAGTATTAAGCCATCATCAGCATTAAACTTTTAGAAAGGTTTACTATATCGAAAGTGAATAACAATGCCTCAAAATTTTAACATTTAACTTACCTAAAAACCTAGTAGCCTAGTAGTTTGAGGCAAGAAACATTGTAGAGAAAAATCAGCGTAGGCAGCCGTATTAATAATTTGGTTATTGTAATCTGATGTTTATCACAGATATAAAGTTTTTCTCTAATTCAGCATTTGTGGATACATAACGCCTTTTTAATTACAATAGTTAATAATATTGTTATATGGTACGTCATATACTAAGATCCAATGAGCTCGAAATCACGACCCAAATCATCTCGATAAATTACTATCCAAAAACACACACTCTTCTTAGTAAATTTTATTATTACCTATATGAGTTAAACAAGAGCTGTGTTAATTATTCTTTTAATTTTGGGATAAAACTCACCTTTTTATTAGTCATTCAAGATTTATTTGCTGATAGACATACTTATTCAAGTGTAACATACCTACATAATGTTTTAAATTTTATAACCAAAAGTTGAACACAAAGACGTTGTGTCTCAAGAAAGAGAAATCCAATTTAAATGAAATGATGTAGAAATTCTGGAAACAGGCAGATGACGCGATGCACGTTAAGTAAACGCAGTAGTGGCAGAAGCAAATGATACTAGTGTGGGGTCTTGGGACTTACTCTGCACCAAAAACACACCATGTACAAGGGACAACTACCGGCTTGTTAAGAAGCTCCGACATGCTAACTGAACGTCTTATTTTTAACCTAAAATTGGACTTCTATACACTAGCCTGTCTTCTGTAATGTATCTCCTTTCTCTAGACCTTACAGCATTGAACTTTTAATGTTATAACATAATCGCAGGACAATCGTGTCCTTCATAGTTAATAGCATTGCTACTACCAATGTGTGTTTATTAATAGACAACCTAATGAACGCACAATAAGTATTATGAATCGATTTCAAAATATATAAAATATAAACAGTTGTAGTACACTTCAGTTTACTTTCAGAGAAATCCATTAATGTTTCTACGTTAACGTGTCGCATAGTCCCTAGTTTGTTTCTATTCTTTAACGCTTATTTACCATTCTTATGCCTTTCTCTTATCATCTCCGTACTCTTCCTTCAATGTTGGGCTTTATGTATTTCTAACTCTATTTCTTTCGTGCCTTCTGCTCTTCTATCCCTGTTCCTTATCTACACTTTTATTCGTCTCCTGTGGTCCCTCTTTTCATACCTTTTTTTATTCCAAACTTTCTTCTTAATCCTTGACAGCTCATTTTTCTTTTTATTTTCAACTTTCATAGTTTGCTCTCGTCCTTTATCTCTCACCTTTCTTTACGAATGTTGCGTATTACTATTGTATCTATTTTTTTTATGTTTTGCAGGTTGAATTAGTTGATGTGCATTTCGGAGCATCGAAAAAGGACGTCCTAAATCCTGAACTGTTTAACGCATCTATTAATGAAATAAAACATTGTTATAAGCTTTCTAAAGGGTGCTTCTCTCTGGTAAGTCTATTTATGCATTTTACAGTTAACTTTTATTGAATGTATGTTGGTGTTTTCGCCCTCTCTAAAAATGACGTCGATTTTAGTAGCATGTGTTTATTTAAGTACTACAGAATTCTGTCGTTCCAAAAACTTTGAAAAGCAAACTGCAAGCCTGGCTCAGAAACTCATTCACGCATTTGTTTTTAGTTTTTGATTGGTAATAAATACCAACCTTACATACTTCCCTATCGCATTAAACTAGACGATTTTAACGTAATTTATGAAAGTGCAAAGAATACAGGAACGAAATATGATTTGCTAAAGATGTGGTACGTTAAAGTAGACGAATACTACGTGTTAAAAGATTTAAGGTAATTACAATGTTTAATCCAATTATTCCTTGATCCTTTTAATTTCCATTTATATATTTTAAACACAATGTTAGTTCCGTTACAGAGAAGTTAATGAAAACGATTTAGAAGAAGCAACCAAAGAAATAACGTACATTTTAAGCAAGACCATTCCTCATTTACCTGATGACATTCAACAAAAGCTGGAAAATTTTTTACAGTCTGAATTAGAGCAAAAGTTCTCATTCGCAAAAGGTTTGCTATAACTATCGGATATTTCGAACATCTCCTAGATTTATGGGTAGTTTAATGTATCATAAATATTGATATTTAAGTATTTGATATAAATAAGAATATGTGTGTGGGGAAGCATCTAGTATCTACTAACATCACTTTTTTATAGTTTATACATAACTTTGGCAGAGAGACAGATGCGTTATGACTTTTGCGCTGTATGGTACGTATGTGAGTAGGTACACATTAATATTGGATCGCAATTTCCATCATGCAGGCAGTAAGCGCAATCTACAGTTATATGTAGTACGTTAGTGACTATGATCTATAACTTTAGTCGGTATTTTAACGGACTAACGATCTATTAGACCGGGAGCACACGGCCGATTGAAAGAAACGTCTAATACCAGCCTGGTAATTATTTAATTTTTAGATTTACAAGGTAAAATCACTCTGTAAAATGAATTATTTTTTTATTTTTATTTTTGTTTATTTTAACCTCGAGGAGGGGAAATCGTCTAAAGATACCCCTCAAAAGGGGGGTAGTGTCGGATTCACTCCTGGTGGGAGCGCTTACCGACTAAAAACCCTCCTCGAGTTGGTAGGTCAACCTGGTGGTTATGACTACCGGGAGCAGGTGGGAGAAGTTTGGGGGAAAATGAATTATACAGCCGGGTACAACTTGTAGGAACCGCAGAAGTTACCTGAAAAATGACATTTTTCTAAAAAATTCATACCAGTCTGCCATTAACATCATTTTACTGCGTTTTTTCGATTGGCAGTTGATTTGAACTAGTGGATATGAAATTATCCGCTACGAAATCTATTTTCAGAATCACCAGCACCGTGCGGTAACGACCGGTCTTACCCCTTGTCACCACCAAAGCTATACTTAACAACTCTATCTATTTTATTTTATTTCACCCATGGGTTTATTTTTAATTTCTTTTTCTCTATCTAGTTTTCCTTACCGATTGGTTTTACTTTCCTATGATGTTCCTTCATTTTTTTTTTTAATACCGTTCTTCTATTTTCTTTTTTCTACTATTTTTTTTTTCTATTTTTGTTTATCTTTATCCTAAAGTTATGTTTTTTTTTCTACCCTGACGTTTTCATGCACGCCCTATCCGCTATCTGCTTTTTCATTTTCCACCGCGAAATCTGCGTTAAAAACTAAATCGTTTTTATCGTTAATTTTCGCCCTTCTCTCACCACCCCTCTCAACTTAAGAACAACTTGAAACCGACTGTCAAGTAGAACAACATAATCAAAAAAGCATAAAAATTCTTGGGAAAAAATGGCAACCTGGTATGAATTTTTTTTTTATCACTTACTTGCACACTTTCATTAGTGTGCTATAGCGTGATCTACATGATGTAAGCGGCTGTCACTAAATAAGTAGTCATTTGGCAACACAAATAATGATGATAAAATGTTTTTTTATTCGAACAAAATTTTATACTTTATATGAATAAACAATTATGATGTAGAAGTGCAAACCGACTGGCATTTTTTTTAATGCCTGTTTTGGCTGGCTAAGTATTCTTTTATTTCTGCAGCCTGGTATGAATATTTTTCTTGCGAATTTTGCTTTTGAAATTTGGGATGACCGTCAGAGTACAAGTTGAAATTAGCTGTTGACCGTTCTCCGCTTTATTTTTCATAAATTTTCATTTGCTTTAATCACAGCCTGGTATGAGTATTTATTTTAATAAATTTCATTACAGTTTCTAGACGTTGTCAAACTCGTCGTATAAGGATGGGCTTTTTTGTATTCCTGTTATTGCACTTAAATGACGCAAACAATAACTATTTTGACAGGCATATGAGACGCTTCTTACAATAGGTCGTATGCTCCCGGTCTATATAGCGTGGGGACGAACGATGTTTTAAATCGCCATCCACTTCTAGCACTTTCGGTAAAATTCTTTCCAAAAACTGTTCTAAAATCATCATTTTCATCATCATCATAGGGTCGTCAGTCCTAATACTGGTTGGACACGTACCTCCACTCTTTCCTATCCTGAGCTAAACTTTGCATTTCCCTAAAACTATAACAGCCCACATCCTTAACTAACAGGTCAATTGAAAAGTCCCCGGCCTAAAATAGTAAAACACATTTTTCTTGCAAAATTCGTTTTTTTCATTCAACATAATTCCCTTCAAGGGTGATACACTGATTATAGCGATCCTCCAACTTTTCGATACCATTTTTGTAGTACGATTTGTCCTTTGCTTCAAAATAGGCCTCAGTTTCGGCGATCACCTCTTCATTCGACGAAAATTTTTTCCCAACGAGCATTCTTTTGAGATCT